CTTGAAATCCTGAGTTAAATAAAGGGGTTTTCTGAGAGTGTTGAACCTCGAATATGTCAGTCTTTTTCAGGCGACAAAAGAATGCCTTCGGAGGCATTCCCTTGACTGCGTTTTTGTTCATCTTGTTCGCATTGGCTTTGTTGGCGTATGCACCATCAGGAGTCGAGGGTGCCATCAGAGCTAGACGACCTGGAGGAGTAAGATTTTCAGTGTTCTGAAACAGGTTTTATATTTAATGGTGTATATATACAAGCTTGAAATCAAAAGTAAATGCCATGTAGCTGTCAAATAAATTTGCTAAAAAACAATCTGGTTAAGTAAGTTTTCTCATATTTAAATAGGATCAAAATTTCTGAATTGAAAGGCAATACACCGTATTTACTCAAGTACCACACGCACATTTTTTCCCAAATTTCAGAAGAAAAAAGGGGTGCGCGTCATAAAGCATTGATTCTAAGAGAATTCAGACAGGGACTTTAAAAAATTTCCACATAAGGAGGAATTTGGGAGGTTTGACATATTGGGGTTCACTGATATTTCATTTCTCTGAATATAATACTGTAAAACTTTGTTGCCAATGCAGTTACTTTGGAAAAAAGCATGAACAGTCTATACCTGCAAAAAGTGTCCGAGTATCTGTGTTTACTGATCGCAATTTTCTGTGAAAATTGATTTTGAAAAATCTTGATCTGAAAATCGTCTTTCTTGCATTTGACGGCAGATGATAATCATGGACTGGCTTGATTATTTCCTTCTTTTATGAATTTTAAACATGGTTTATTAGACTGAATTAATCTATTGCATGAAACCTGCGATTCTTACTTTTTTTAGATCAAGATTTTCGAGTCCGATGAGAACATCCACCCCGCTTTTGATAACGCGATGAGTGACGACGATGACGACGAAGCTGATGATGGCGAAGACTCCAGCGAAAACGAGGTCCATTATGCTACAATATTTTCCTCATTTATTTTAATTTATGCATTTCTCCAAGATATCTGACGAAACTAATAATGCAGGCAGTTTTCCGCAGATACATGAGCAGAAGCAATTTAGGGACTAAACTCACTGTAAACATGTAGTAACACTGTATTTGTAATTAAGTTATTGAGGAATAATATACTTTTTTGTCCCTGCGAAAGTAAAGAATTTTGAAAAGGATATTGCATGTGTTTACTTTGTGAGGAGGAAAAAGAGCTCGAGAAAAAAATTACCATTGAAGAAATTATCTTGCTGACTATGCTACTTCAATTGAAACCCAATGATAGCGAAGTTCAGTAATAATTTTTTTATTCGTCATGCAATGAAAATTGCAGCATGCAGTAAGATCTTTATTGAATACATTTTTGCTGCCTTTCTTTTATTTTGTTTGTTTAGAATACACAATAATGTTTCTGTGCGTTTGGAGGTTTTTATTGGCGCTTATTTATGTATCCACCAACTTTTTAAAAATCAGGATCCAAATTTTGTGCTTTCAGTTATGTTTTGTAGTGCTGTATTTA